ATATATATATATATATATTGTATTTGAGCTCATAGTCCCTAGTATATACTAATTAATAGTTAGCTTGAATTGCAAATGCTTTTAAAAAATTTATGGACAAGATGGGGAATTTGAGGTCTTGTCTTTGTGAGGATACAAAGGGACTACTATATTTGTATGAAGCCTCATATCTTTCAATTGATGGTGAAAGTTTATTAGATGAGGCCAGGGATTTCACAACTAGGAATCTCAAAGAAAACCTCAAGAAGAAGGATATTGATCAAAATCTCGCCATGCTAGTTAGACATTCCTTGGAGCTTCCCCTACATTGGAGGGTGCAAAGGCTAGAGGCAAGATGGTTCATTGATGTGTATGAGAGAAGACAAGATATGAATTCTATATTGCTTGAGCTTGCGAAATTAGATTTCAACATGGTGCAAGCAATTCACCAGCAAGAAGTAAAACAAATGTCAAGGTCAGAAATGTTCCCAATTTTCGTTATGTAGTAAGGGTGCAGCCATATAAGTCACCATATATATATGTATGTATGTTGTATTTCATATACCTTATGTAATGTTCTTTTCCTTGTTATGAATATAGGTGGTGGAGGAGTACATGTTTGGGAAAAAAGTTGAGCTTTGCTAGAGATAGGTTGATGGAGAATTTTTTAGGCACTCTGGGAGTGAATTTTGAGCCTCAATTTGGATACTTTAGGAGAATGTCCACGAAGGTCTACACACTGATAACAATAATAGATGATATCTATGATGTGTATGGTTCATTGGAGGAACTTGAACTATTTACCAATGCCGTTGAGAGGTTGGTTGATGGGAGAATGGTTGTGTCAATATCATCTGCATTAATTTGCATGCTTCTTAGCTATATATCTTTAACATGAAAATACTTTTTTTTTCTTTTTAACTTTTAGGTGGGATATCAGTGCAATGGAACAACTTCCAGACTATATGAAGATATGCTTCCTCGCTTTATTCAACTCTATTAATGAAATGGCTTATGATGCACTCAAGGAACAAGGATTGCACATCATTTTACACCTAAAGAAAGTGGGGAGAATTTAATTTTGAACTATTTTTTTTTTTTCCTTTTATTTTTTTTGTTTTTTTTGTTTGTTTTTTTTTTTTTTGCTCCCTTTTCTTTTTACTCAGGGCCGGTCATTGAATAATAAAATAATAAAAGCCCTATAGATGTATTCTCTCTTATTTTCTGTTTAATTATTTTTATTTTCATTTGTCTCCGCTTGCGCCATTTAATTTGCCACAATTAGAATAAATTAGTGAGTTGCGATTCCAGCCCTACACCCCCGGGGTTGGGTCTTGACAGCCACAATCATCTTAGCTAGTGGCCATGGTAGCCATGGCATCCACAATGACAGAGCAAATTCCAGAGCAATGTTTGAAGGGCAAATACCTTATCCACAACTCAAGCACAACTCTGATTGCTCTGCGGCACACAAACTTCCTCCTCTTCCACTCCGATGAAACAGCAGCAGCGGCGGCGGCACGAGCTAGGTTACGACTAGACGGTGCTCCTCTCTCTCTACTTTGTTCTTTTCTTCTCTTCTTCTTTTTGTTTTTGTTTTTGTTTTAGAAATGAAATGAAAGGTGGGCGTATACACAGCTACAACAACACCAAGTTAAGTACAAACATACTTTCAAGCCCTTCGAGCCAAAGACTTTCAAGCAATGTAGCAGACCGCTTAACAAAACTATTACTATGCTTCACAAAAATTGTTTTTGCTAACTTGCCATGTCAATATTATAGGCTTGCATCGATCAACCCACCAATAGAATAGGTTTGAAATTTTGTTCCCAAAAAATATGTTCTCATATTGGACTCATTTGGAAAGTGTATATTTCAATTTAAAAGTTAAAAAATTATATAAAAAAGTTTAAAAAATTATTTTTTACTATTTTTTTCACACGTTTTTTTGGTAAAAAAATTAAAAAGTTAATTTTTTTTTACCTCAAAAAATTATTAGAATTGCATGTTCCCAAATGATATGTACTTATAACCATTCTACCTATTTTTTTAATTAAAAAATAATTATGTATTAAATTATATCATTGTGATTATTTACGTAATAAGGGACAAATACTTTTGAAAAAAAAAGTAATTTGTTTGGTTTAAAATTTTAAAAATAATTTTATGAATTTTCAATTCATAAATTTTTTTTTAGTTTTTTTTTTTTAAAATTTATCAATTATTTTTTAAATTTTTTAAATCCATTTAATCTTGATATACTTTTTTTTTTTTTTTTTTTTGCTTATTATCTTGTTATACTTAAAAAGTATAAAATTTTTACAAAAAAACAACAAAATATATATATGTATTGAATTTTTATATTTTTTGTATACGATGAATTTTTTAAAGTTTTTTTTACAAAATATTCTACTTTTTAAGTATATAAAGCTTAGGTGTATTTAAAAAAATAAAAAAATTCTACATACAATATTAAAAAAATTCACTAAAATGAAAAAACATAGAAAAAAAAAAACTCCATTTTCAAAAAAACAATGTAAACCGAACAAGGTGAAAATAATGAGTAATGCTAGAGATTCACATTTGAGACCCCCAAATATAGCTCCAATGATATGGCAATGAAGTAGAGTTATATATAATTAAGTATGTGACAAATCAAAAGTAAAAATCTATCATTTCACATCATTATAAATGAAATTGTGAGGATTTTGTTAAGAATTTTAAACATTAATATTTAGAGTAAACTACTAATAGGTTTTAATAGTTAGACTTAATTCTCATATAGTTGTATTGAAAATAAGTTTTAGTAAAATCGTCGCTAAAAATAATTTTTTGTGACGATTTTTTAAATATGTCATTAGAAATTAACAACTTTTTTTGTCACTTTTTTTGTCACAATTTTTATAAATCGTCGTTAAAACTTACAGTTAATGTCGTTTTTCTGTGACGAATTTTTTAAATTGTCACTAAAAGTTGAAAATTAATAATATTTTTTGTGACGATTTTTTTAAATTGTCGCTAAAATTTTTAATTTGTGATATTTTTTGTGATAATTTTCAAATTGTCATTTAAAATTAACAATTATTGACTTTTTTTTAATAATATTTAATAAAAAAATGTCATTATTCCTCACAGAATGTATTAGATAATAAATCTATCTATTAAACCTTACACAAATTCCCTAATATTTAAGATGCAAAACAATTGTTCCCCTCATTTGGTGATGGTAGATCTCTAGATTGGACAGTTTTGAGATTGGTGTTGGGAGATCTAACATTGTTATAACGATAAGATAATGGAATCTTTGACATTATAGAATCTTAAGAACCATAAATTTGACATATAGGATTGACATCAAATCCTAAGACAATACAAACCAAATGTGTGTGTGACATAGAAAGGGGAGGTGGTGGAACCAAAATTCCAGTCTAGATTGAAAGAATTTTATGATTACAATTCTATAATAGCCTTTTTCACTTTTGGAAGAAAATAGTTCTACAAATAATTAAAATTTATAATTTTTTTCTAGTTATATAGAAAAATATTTGAGACATTTAATTTATTACTTTTAAAAATTACTTCTAATGATGTATTTGACAAATATCAAATTTTGATTTATCAAACATTTCATTTTGTGGGTTCTAATTTCAATACCACATTATTAGAGATCATTTAAAAATGATAAATTAAGTGAATGTAGAATTGTTGAATTATATATGTGACACATAGGAATAGAACTTTAGTCTTTGAAACAAAACCTATTTGAAAAATATAATAGAAACAACCCAACATGGCATCTAATGTGGAATCTTACATAATCACCGATATTATAATGTTGATACTTTTTGAATATGACAAATGTAGACACCCTATTTTTGATCGCCCTCAAGACTTGGGCGCTACTGATGGTTTACTTGGTGGTGAAAGGTGTGCAGGGCAAAGGGTCGATTTCTTCAGCAAGGAGAGAGTCAAATCCCCAACTTCATACCCCATTTTTGGACTAAAACTATTTTGAATGGTTTTTAGACCTTAAAACCCTCTCTTTCAAAATATTTTTGAAAAGAAGTTCCTACAATGTCCCGACGCTTGCATTTTGTTAAATGTTGCGCTTTTCGGTAAACTAAGCAAAGGACAAAGTGGAAACGAATGAAAGAGAGATGAAATCTTTGAAAAATCTTTCAAAACATCTTGTTTAGGGATTTGGAGAAGAAGAAAAGAGGAGAGGAGAGAAGAGAAGAAAACAAGTTTGGGAGAAGTTCGGCATGAATCCAGGTAGGATTGAAACTGAGCAGCTTCACCAAAACAGGCATAACTTTTTTCATAGTTGGAATTTTTATGCAAGGTTGCCGCCATTGGAAAGCTTACTTCCGGGGCTTCAATTTGAATACAAGAATGGCCTAAAAAGGAGTCCAGATGAAGGAGATATACCCATTTGAAGTTAAACCTACAAAGCAGATTTTCTCTGCCGGCCACTAGTGAAGGGTGCCGGCCATGGATGATGCAGTGCCAGCCACCAGTGATGGCCTGCCGGCCAACAATGTCAAAAATCAGATTTTTTTGTAGATCTTTTACCTCCAGCTGTTATGCACAAGCCCCCAGCTCAGATATTTTGGCCAAGCTCTCTTTTGGCTATATAATGAAGCCATATATCTCATATTAAAGGGTTGGAACTTCTTGAGCAAGTTTGAGAGCTTCTCTCACTAAAACTCCCTCTCTCTCTACAATTTCTAGAGCAAAATCTCTGCCCCTCTCTCTTAAGTCTCTCTCTCTTGCCCTTTTTGTGCATAGAAGTAGAGGAATACTTCTTGTTTGCATATACTTCCTTCATCAAAGTTGCATATTAGGGGGCTGAGGTCCCTTGGAGCTCATTTTTGGACTGTTGGAAGGTTATTTGAGCCAACACAGAGGCCATTTTGCTGCTGTGCTACAAGGGTAAGCACCTTTCCTCTTTTGTATTTGTTTTGCACATTTGCTTCACCACCCATTTTCCATTGTTTTGAGGCCGTTTTTGGGTTAGTGTTGAACTACAAAAACCTTTGTTTTTTTCTCTGTTTTTTAGTCCTAAAAGTCTTGGTTTGTGCCTTGGTTGGCTAGGGGTTGTCCTCCATTTTGCACCTTAGCTTGTAAGGCCTTGTGAGCTAACTTTCAAACTTTTCAAAAAACTTCTTTTTGGCCTTAGAACCACTAAAATCTAGAAGATTTTCAGTTGTAAAAACCCTATTTTGAGGGCCCAAATAAGAGAGGGTGGTCCCCTCTCCTCTTGTCTTGCTTGCTAGTGTTGATGGCCAACCAAATGAGCATGTGTTTTTACTTCTTTATGGCTTTGTTTAGGCTCATTTTTGTGACTTATCAGACCTGCCATAACTATGTTTTTGGCTGTCTTGGTCACCTCTTGCATGCTTATTGCACTTGTAGTGTAAATCCTCTTTGCTTGCCTTGTTAGCCTTACAAAGTAGCATGCTTTTGTGGCTTGTGTTAGCTCTTTTCAAGCATGTTTTTGTGACTTTTAGGACATGTTATAACTATGATTTTGATTGGTGGGCTCACTCCTTGCATGGTTTATACATTTGTAGTGTATTTCTCACAAACTAGTCTTGTATGCTTCATGAAGTAGCATGTTTGTTAAGCTTGTATGGGCTCCATTTCAGCATGTTTTTGGTCATTAATTAGCATGTCACGACTCTGTCTAAAGTTCGTTTGATAGCCTCTTGCATGCTCCATGCACTTGTAGTGTAAACTTGCACACTAGCCTAACATGCATCATGCTTTTGACCATCATTCTAGCATGATTTTGGCTCAACTCCAAGAAGCTTTTGTTCATGTTTCACCATGCTTAAGCTCTGATTTGTGTTGTTTTGGTCATGAATGCATTGCTTTGTATAGCCATGGTTCAATCTTGCTCACTAGCTTTGTGTATTGAGTCTACTAGCATGCATTGCTTGGACTATCTTCATGATTTGACATCATTTTTTATGTGATTTTAGAGCATATTTCATGGTCATGCACTCACATATTTCACTCTTTTAATGTGTTGGAGACTTTGTGCTTTATGCCTTAAACATGAGCCATTGTGTGTGCC